AAACCACGAGAAGCAGGGAAATGAGTTTTAAGAACAATGGGACGTCCTTTCCTCCGGAGCGTCACGTGAAGCGACGTCCGTTTGTGATGACGCTGCACAGCTGATCGTCTGACAGCAGCCAGCTCTGTCCCTGTTATTGCCACACACACCCCCGCCTCTGTTAGTACACATTTACTGACACAAACATTTGTATCATCTGTTGTAGACCCAAATAAATAAAAATAAAATAAGAACTCATTCTCAAAAAAGATAAACGCCATTCTTAAAATGTATAAACGAACAATAGTTAGATTAATATTGATTAGAGTGCACAATAGAAATAAAATAATTGAGAGAAGAAAAAGAGATATGTTATCTATCAAAACCCATTAACATTCATTGGATTGCACACTTTGTTTGTTTGTTTGGATATGTAGCACATTAACATTTTAATAGCACTTAATGACTGACTGAATGGAAATGACAATAAATGAAAATGTAAAACGAAAAAAGCGATCAGGAAAATGTTTCCAAAAAATGAATAAAATGATTTTTGACCACTTTGTTGTTCAGATATATCACATATTTGTAACTAAATGATACATTAATTGAAACAAAACACGGTATAGACTGAGGAGTGACTCCCGTGAGGTTCATGTATTTTCTTCACTCCGCTGGGAAACTGCTCTCATGTCAAGAAGCATCAGATCAGTGCATGCACTGCATCGTCCAATCAGTGAGCGATACACAGTAAGGGGGCGGGGCGAGTATCTGAGGATTTCATCGGAGGATGGTCTGATGGTTCCTCGGTTATCGCTCCTCCATTATCGCTCCTCGCTCCTCGGTCCTCCGGCAGAAATAAGAGCTATGGGACGGTACTCAAGATGGCCCAGACAAATCAACTTCCGGTGAGACCGAGGACCGAGGAGTGAGGAAATGAAAATAGTCGACCTGAGACAGGGCCTGAGAAACGGCCAGAGTCTGGGCAGTAGTGGGCGGAGCTGTCATTTCAAGGTGCCACCCATATACCTGCTACAGAATCCTACCGAAGCAGTGCATAGTGCTAGATGCCGATGTCACCACAGAAAGTCAGTATCAACCTGTGTGTACTGATATATAAAGTGCTTTCAATTACTTCCTACTGCAATTAACAAAATTCTTAGAGGTTTTGTTTGGATTTTCTGAGTCTAAGGGGTGATAAAATCCCAGAGGGGATTGTTTTCATATTCTCATGTTATTGATTCCTTTTCTGACAAAAAATGTGTGAAAAGAACCAACTTCTACCAACTGTTTTTTGGTTTTTCGTACACCTCACATTAATATTCATTGTGGCTTTTCTTCAGGATAACTCAATTTACTCTTTAAGAGCTTTATTTCCTTTCAATTAAAAATGGCACACATTTAGTATTCAAATTTGTATGATGTGAAAACAGGAGCAAAAGAAAAAACAAAGTATATTATGTTCTTGAGCTAATGATGAGTGTTTAAAAATAATTTCACTTAAAGTTTATATATGAGATAGAATACATTCATTATTTTTGTAAAATGATAGGCCTTCATGTATAATACGTTATTTTACTGTAGGGTTGTTTGTGAATAAATGGCAAAATGCTAGGCACGTTATATTGAAATCTTGCATTAAATATTCCATACAAGCCCTTATTATATACAATGGAACACATATTTATAACTGAATATTAGTGAAAAGAAAGTAACCTCTCTAACCCCAGCTTTGGTTGCCATGCACACAGCAGTAATGGCTGTGGTTATTTAAGCTGATGCCTGCTGTTCTTTCCTCCTAAAATGATTGTATTGCTAATCATCAGAAAGTGTATTGCTGTCATGATTAGAGCGACAAATTGATGTCATTCGTCTGCCCCCATGACGGCATGAGATTTAGCCTATCTGTAAAATGTGATTGTAGATGTAATGATTACAACCTACTTCTTGGAATCTGGAATCTTTCAAACGGAAAGTATAAGTTTATTGAATATCTTTCTTCCACGAAAATATAGTACATTAGCCTCAGGGTTGTTCATTTGGGGGGGGGGAACATGTCTCATTGTTTCTATTTTATGTATAAGTGTCTACTTATGGAAAATGTATAAAAGCAATATTGTAATGATGAACCATCACTCCATCATTACAACATTTGTATTTATTTTGCCATTACACCCATACAATCAGTACAGAAAGGGTGTAACGTGAACTGACTTGTATCTATATCAGTCTGTGAAGGGTAGACTAGTATCCATCTACCAGCCACATTTACATGACACCAAGGACCAAGTTGTAATAGGGCAAATTTTGAAAACCTCTGAAAATGCCTTGATAACTTGCTTCAAATTGATTTGATATGCCGCTGATGTTCAAACTGGTCTTCAACCTCCCTAAGTTCTCCCATGCTACCTTTCACAGTGGCTGCCCAAATCCACTTCAAGACACGGCTTCTTATTTCTGTAAATGTATCAGGCCCTTCCTGCATACACGAGATGGATAACCCGTAAACTCCAGGACTTGCATTTCGCTATGTATCGGCCTGCTTCTCCCTCACTGCAGGTGGGTCTCAGGTACCCATCAACAAAAACACACCCGTTTGCTATCATGGCTCTGAAATGGTGGAAAAAGCTCCCCATTGTTATCAAGATAGCAGAAAGTGTACACATCTTCTGTTGCAAACTGAAAACCCACCTGTATCAACTAACCCCTTAGCCAATAATAACAAATACGATAATTTCTCACTTAAGTTTGGCTTATTGAAAGCTAATATACTCGCAGGATTCTTGCTTTTCTGATCTTTATGGTTGAATGCACTTTGTAAGTCTCTTTGGATAAAAGAGTCAGCTAAATGTAATTTAAAGAAAGATATTTACTTGTTGTGCTGCTCGTCATCTAAAAGCTTTTTGACATCCAGCATTTAATTCCACTGAGATGAATAGCAGTATATTTTCTTACGTCAATTCAACAGAAAGTATCATGTGTAGGGGCTTATACAGAACTCGCTAGCATCCACATCAATATCACCACATGACTCCTTCAATATCGCCACATGCTTCTATGGCGTTTGCATTTATACACATCATATTGCCAATCCAATAACATTTTCCATACTTGTGGCCTATTTATATTGCTCAACCTTTAAGTGCAGGTGAGCTTTTATGCAAATGACTACAGTATGTGTGCAACCAAAGAAGGGCATTAATAGGAAATAATATTGTTTTGTATTTCTTTTTGCTGATAAAGTAAAGATTGATATTTCTCCCTTCATCAAATTGACAACTCAAAGACAGCAAACAGAGATGCTAATGCAGATAACACCACAGGAAAATACAGATATTGATTAACAACCCACAAACACAATTACTTGCAGTCACCAGTCATCCATGCACAAGGCTGAAAGCATTCCCTTTTCTCCCCGGTAACCATTGTATGTAATAAGGGCTTGTATGGAATATTTAATGCAAGATTTCAATATAACGTGCCTAGCATTTTTTCCACAAATAACCCGACAGTAAAATAACGTACACATTATAATACATGAAGGCCTATCATTTTACAAAAATAATAAATGTATTCTATCTCATCTGAGAACAGAAATGTAGGACTCTAAAAAAGAAAAAAAGGTTATAAAAAAGGACAGCACTTGTATTATCTTTACTTTCTTACTAGAACATTTCCATTAGCCTTGAACAATATATTTTTCTCTACAACCCTTTAAACAAAGACTCTCAAATTGTTATTAATGCTAATCCAGAGATCAGTATGACACTTCCAAGTAGAAGTGAAGCGTGGGGTAATATGGAACCGTATGTTCACCATGCATGGTCACATCAATCACGCACCTAACTATGCACTGCATTTTTATAACTCTTGGGAACAGTATGTGAACTGTTTTCACTGGCAATTTTCACACATAGAGGTGTGAATATCTCTTGGATAATTGCGGAGAAGGTGCAAATGAAAGATGCTTAAGGCTATATTTACCAGGGTCAACAGTTCAGTTATCCCTGAGTGGGTATAAAAGACTCTTAAAACTTCAAGACATGAAGGTAATTCACAATATTCTGTTTGTACATAGCATTTCAACCTATTTCAAGTGCTTGACGAAGTTGTAACTTCAAAATGATGCCGATATTTGGCCAAGTGCTTGATAGATAAGAAACTAGACTACATCAATAAAAAAGGCACATGTAATCCATGCCAAACCCCATGCACTGAGATGCACCCGCACAGTCATTATATTAATTGTTGGACAATGGCCTGGTTTTCACCATAAATCCCCCCCGGGTAAGATATTAGTCCCATTCTATCTTATCTTTAATTCACTTAAAAACCTAATAGACAACAGAGCTTCTGCCCCGGTTTGTTTCTCATGATTAAGATTAGCTATTGCAAGTATAGCCTAATTTAGTTTTTTTAATGTACTTGGGGTGTGATTCATACAATGATGTAACTAGAGATGACTTCATTTTATGTAATTATCTTTTATAGATCAAGTGTCCAAGTGCTCTGTGTGTATAAATATGCATGCCTGGGTGTGCACCTGTGTTTTTAAGGGATGAGCAAAATGTGACTTGAAACGATTGTTGAATTGGCAATGGTTGGGTTTCTATGCGTGTGCGTGCATGTGTGTGCATGTTTGTATGTGTGTGTGTGTGTGTGTGTGTGTGTGTGTGTGTGTGTGTGTGTGTGTGTGTGTGTGTGTGTGTGTTTGTGTGCGTGTCTGTCTGGTGGGGGGGGCATACATGTGTCAGGGTGGAGGAGATTACGTGTGCCACTGTGTACCGTACTGTGTAGTAAATTGTCCATGTGGCAGGTTAATCCATGTATAATAGGTGTCAGATGCTGCATCGCACTGAATTAATATGAGGGCTGTCAGAAAAGAGAGCACACAAATAGCTTAGTCTTTCAAAAATTCAGCGTACGTACAAAAGGGAGCTGGAAAAACTGTTAAAAGGTGGGGGGTTTTTTCTCTACTGGAAGTTATTTCACTGTGTGTTTTTACCGCTGACTGGACAAACATGGATGAGAAATACATGTCCAAACTGTCCCCGACAGTTGATTTCTGGGCAGGGATTTACCTGGTGATAGTTGGTGAGTACAATACGTAATTTCCTTTTCTCTATCCATAGTGACTTGTCTCATAGAATTAATAACTTGAGCTCGCAAATAATTATTTTGAGGCTTCTCTTTCAAATGTCAGTGGGGATTAAGCTTAAACCCATGAATGACTTGTGAGAGAGAAGCACTTAAGACTTTAAATGTAGATTTGTTTGCTTTAATTCTCATTCCTGTAACTTTGAGACGGATAAGGAAACAACAGGGCATGACTGTGTTGATACAGGATATTTTTTTTTCAACTTTTTTTTTCAACAGCATACAGTTATTCTATAAGAGCATGTATCAAAATTAGGTAAACAAATCTTCACTTTATAGAAAAATAGGTAGAGTAGAAATGTAAATACAGCTTATCACCAGGGAAAACAAAATCCCACAGAGACAGAATAAGTAAAATTAATTAATTAATTAAATTAAATAAATAAATAGAAAACCAGTCAGCTAAAACAAAAATGTCAATAATAAACAATAAATGTCGACACAGGATATTAAACATGGGATTTGAGTGGACATTCTCTCTTCTGAGCAAATTACATTATTGATTTTTTACACCAACGAGTCAAGATTGTTAGCCCCTGATCTCTATCTGACTCATTTGACATGAAGCAACAGCACATTTTCTTAAAAAACAGCTGCATAGCGCACACTTGAAGTAAATTAAAGTTTTTAAAATAAATGCTTACCTATTAAATAGCTCTGCATTGCATTAAAGAAAACATGTCCTGCATCCAAGCTTTTCCCTATTGTTTTAATTTTATTTATTTTAATGCTAAAGAACAAACCCTTTGTGTGATTTTTGTATTAACTTGAAGGCAATAGTCTTTCCTTTTTAAAAAGGGTCCTTCAATGAGAGTTGCTTCGCTGCAGGCTAATTAACCTGAAATACATTTACGCGGTGTAACCCCGCACCATACGTGAAAGCAAAACATCGGACACTCTCACAGAGATGTAATTAAAGAAGTGCACCTTAATGAGGTAAAAAAACTAATAAGATTATCATTTTGCATTTCCCTTTGTATGGTGGGTGTTTTGTAGTGTTCATTTCGTTGACTAAAACTATGACGAAATATGTTCGTCAACGAACTTTTTTTCCATGACGAAAACGAGACGATGACGAGACGGCACCGACGGCAGTAAACAATAACTGCAACGAAATCATCATGCAATATCGTTGACGAAAAGTGACGAGAAGAAAATGTAGTTTACTAAATAAAAACTATGCCAAAATCTCTCTTTACTTTCGTTGACGAAAAATGAGGAGACGAAATATTATCAAAGATAACGTTACATTTCTGATAGTCAGTTTTTCTCCCAGCAGTTCCATTTCCGGGGCTGCGGCAGGGCAGCAGCTGTGTGTCTGTGCTGCGCGCGGCGGTACATTTGAATTACACCGGGCAGCGGTACACTGTGAACTGTAAGGAAGACTCGGGTCTAACTCATAACCTTATTTAACAGAAAATAAAATGGCAACAACAGGGCTTGGGAGCAGTGGTCACACTCGCGTTAACCGAAGACCCCCCCCCGCGTCAGCGCGAGTGAGTGATACATTGTGCACTCGACGGGTAATAATGGATTATGACGGAAATGTTACAATCCTCTCCGTCAAAATGACTGACAACGAAAAAGTCTAAAGCCACCACTTCTTGAGAGAAAGAAACGATGTGATATTTGTGCCCATTTTCGCTACAATGAGGCGGAGATAAAAAGCGAATGCATTGTTTCATCAGAAGGGAAGCAATGTGGCCATAACACAGCTGGTAAAAACACCACAAACCTGAGCAGATACTCTGCAAAGCTTCTCAATAATTCAACCTGAGTTTTTCATCAAATAAGGACAAGATATAATCTTATTTATTTATATATACTAAAATGACAAATTATTGGTTTTGGCTCGACTAGTTTGACTGAAATGTTCTATAATCTGATGACTAAAAAAGACTCAACAGTTTTCATTGACAAAAAATAGACTAAAATAATTAGTTCTCATTCATAACACTCCGTTCAATGTCTCACTATGGGATGCGCCTTATCGCGGAGCAAACAGAAGCATCAATCTCATTACGCCAATCCTGATTGGCTGGTGATCTTGACGTCAGCGTCAGGGAATTCACCCCCTATAAGTAGCTTGCGCCACGACGCATGCATCATTCAAACACCTCTTCTCGCTTCAGAGCACATCTCTATAGTAGCCGGACAAGCTTAACGGTCCACAGACTGAACCCAAATATAACCATTTCGGTCGACGGGCGCTAGCCGGCTACTCCTTCTGCTTCGCAAGAAGACGGTAATACTAACGCCAGTTAGTATTAAAATCGACCTCGCCGTTTCTTTCCCCGGAAAGTAAGGTAAGGTTTTGATTTTTCTCAAGCTAGCTACGCACCTGTTGCTAGCTAGCTTCCCCTTACTACCGACACCACGGTAGCGAGGACGCTATTTTTTTTTCTCTCTCACGGAGGAGAAAAGGATTAGAAGTATATTGACACACCAGTCAATATTCTTTGAGAACAAAGGACCCACACCGTCCCTTTTTCTCCGGATTAAGGACGGGTTGGTAACACTTTTTCTCTCAACGACGTACCTGTTACGAGCAGGTCCTCTCCACGCCACGAGGCGAACAAGATGGACGCCTCTCCCCCTCACACCAGAGGAGTCAGGGACTCGGAGGCTCGGTCATGCGGCTGCGGGTTGAAGATAGCAGGCACAGACTCAAACCCAGGTCTGCTCGTCCTGCCTCGGGCTGGAACACGCCCATGAGGCTATTGACAACCCCGGCTCGTGCGGGCATTGTGCCCTTTTCACCCGAAAGAGCCTCCACCGACGGCTAGCACACCAAGCTAGCTTGTTGGAACAGGACTCCCTCATGTCTACTGATTCGCCGTTTGGCAATCAAGACACGGGGGCTTCCGCCGCAGAGACTGAGCCCCTCACTGTGTCGGTCTGGGGCTCACTAACAGCGGCAGCTGCGGAACCGGGATCCCACGCCGTGTCAGGCCGGGACCCGGTGGCGGAAAGAGACGCGGGAACGGAGCCCCACGCCTCACCAGGCGGGAGCTCCCGGCGAGACCTCACCATGGTCTCGCCCGCAGAGGCTCGGCCTGCTCCGCATACCGCCGATGGAACTGCTGGTGGCAGCCCACCTCCTACCGAGGATGGGCCCGTCACCAAGCAGGAACCCCACGCTGCCAGCGAAGGTGGACCGTTTCCAGTCGACCATGACTGAACGGTCCTACAGAGCCGCAGCGTTGTCCGCCAGGGCTCTGAACGTTTCCTCACTGCTAACCGCATACCAAGCGGAGCTCTGTGAGGATATGTTGAGTAATCCTGGACCGGCCGTTCTGGATGAGTTGGCCGGTCACAGACATTTGTCTCCGTGTCCAACGCTGCGCCGTCCAGGCCACGGGCAAAACAATGGGGATCATGGTGGTGCAGGAAAGAGCTAGATGGCTCAACCTCACCAACCTCCCAGACCGGGAAAAGGAGGATGTGCTTGACATGCCCATCGTTCCCGAGGGGATTTTCGGCTCCGCTCTTGCCTCCATGCAGAGGAGATGCGAGTCGAAAAAGAAGGAGGACGAGGCCCTCCACCTCTGCCTCCCTCGAAGGGCCCAGCCGCTGCCTTCGCAGCGGCAGCCCTTCGTCCAAGCTGCTCCGAACCCTGCTCGGTTAAAAATACCGAAAACGCAGAGGTCGCAGTCCGCCCCGAGTCCCCAGCCCAGGCAGGGGACGAGGGCGATCTGGCCTAGAAAATCTCCGGTTCCGGCTGCAGCCCAGGTGCAGCCAACCCAGAATTTCGGCCAGCAGTTGAGGAAGAAGAAGCGAGCGGCGTGACAGCCCCTCCTTCTCCCCTCTGTGACAGAGCTGAAAGTCTACGGTTCCCCAGCTCTAAATGTGTTCCCGCCGCCTCGAGAGATGCCTCAATACCATCCTCAAGTCCGCGTAAACACATGTCACACACTTATTGATTTTTCTGTCATAAAACATTTTACGCTGACGCATCCAGGCTTCGAGCCAAGGGCGCAGCTCGAAAATGAAAAGAAAAACAATAAACAGTCCGTCAACTGTTCCCCTTCTGAGAGCAGCTACGGCCTCTCTCAAAGGGCGGACAATTGACGGGTCTGTGAAGGCACCACCGTCACGCGCATGCGCAGTGCCGGCTGGGGCTGTAAAGGCACCACCGTCACGCGCATGCGCAGTGCCGGCTGGGGTCGTGAAGGCACCACCGTCACGCACATGCGCAGTGCCGGCTGGAGCTGTAAAGGCACCACCGTAACGCGCATGCGCAGTGCCGGCTGGGGTCGTGAAGGCACCACCGTCACGCACATGCGCAGTGCCGGCTGGAGCTGTAAAGGCACCACCGTCACGCGCATGCGCAGTGCCGGCTGGGGTCGTGAAGGCACCACCGTCACGCGCATGCGCAGTGTCGGCTGGGGTCGTGAAGGCACCACCGTCACGCGCATGCGCAGTGTCGGCTGGAGCTGTAAAGGCACCACCGTCACGTGCATGCGCAGTGCCGGCTGGAGCTGTAAAGGCACCACCGTCACGCGCATGTGCAGTGCCGGCTGGTGTTGTGAAGGCACCACCGTCACGCGAATGCGCAGTGCCGGCTGGAGCCGTAAGGGCACCACCGCCACGCGCATGCGCAGTGTCGGCTGGAGCTGTAAAGGCACCACCGTCACGTGCATGCGCAGTGCCGGCTGGAGATGTAAAGGCACCACGGTCACGCGCATGCGCAGTGCCGGCTGGTGTTGTGAAGGCACCACCGTCACGCGCATGCGCAGTGCCGGCTGGAGCCGTAAGGGCACCACCGCCACGCGCATGCGCTGTGTCGGTGGGGATTGTCGAAATGGGGCACCACAGTGCTCAGACACTAGAGGGCCCCATAACACAACAAATAGAGACTCAGAGGGGAAGAGACGTGACATCTCAGCTGGCTCTAAGGAGCATACAGCGGGAGATGCTCACGACATCTGCTTGGG